CAATGTGGGTTAATAGTGTGAAAACAGTTCGTACTATGAATTCCAAAAACCAGTGGGTGGTTCCCGTTGTTACAACACTTAACTATTTTTGAAAGGGCAAACTTCACCTATTTTTAAAATTTTTTATTGAAATTTATCAATTGAAATAATGTTCTTCAAGTAAGGAAGTAGACAGATCTAGTTTTCCACACTGCGATGGTACTATGAGTCGCTGAAATTGGATTATTTAATAATTTTTTGAGTAGGTAATGGGTGATGAACTAGGACTTCTGATTTGATGATTATATAATATTATTTTGTGCTATAAGATTATGAATTCAACCTCTATAAAAAAGAATTTTGTTTGTGATATTTATTTCTTCTTTTATTTTAGGAATTGTATTTAAAAGTCCTTTATTTCATCGTAAGCGTGAACTTGGGGTAATTGTTAAACTTGATGATTATCAACTTTTTAATCATTTTTTTTTTGGGTTAAGCTAGCGATCCATTTAATATAATCTTCTTCGTTCTCTCTCTATGGACTAACATTGAAATGTCCAAACCATTGAAATGTCCAAATAGGATGATCCATGGACTAACATTTACAGTTTCACATTATATTATGTAATAACTACAGTGTTTGTGTAGTATTCAAATATCGATTATAAGTAAATAATTCATACCGACTGACGCCATATCGTATCGGCTCGATGCTGATGAATCAATAATGGGATCTCCTCTGGTAAATGAGTCATAGACCTGCACAAGTTTTCATATATGAAATCGATATCTGATAACAAGAAGTGTGACAATAGTACATACATATGCTGACAAAATTAGAATACGACCTGACAGTATGTCACAGGTATACAAACTGCAACAAGTTAGGGAAAATAAAAAGAAAGGGTTGCATGAAATGAAAAAGTAAAAATAATATCATGGAAGTGAGTTCTTTCACAATAACCCCTAATATCAATTATCAGTACCATTTCATATCCTCTGCGTGTCTATAAATAGCAGTACCCCAACTACGATCATTATCCAACCCATCTCAATAATTCTTTACAACCCATATATTTATTTTCATTTTGCTGTGTACAAGAAATGTCTTCGACGGGTGCAGGCAGTTCATGCCAACGAAGGCTGCCTAAAGTGTGGCTACTACCTCCATGAAAACCCATGCTTTAAGTAGATTTCCAATCCACTACTCAAACTTTTTAGAACAACTAAGCATTTACCAATATGTACTAAATTTAAGACACATGATTGAATTGATAAAATGGTCTTCCCTCACGTAATGGATTTTTGGAAACTAAAAAAACAATTCACGACCTAACAAAATGTGGCAACGCATTAAATATGACATGCATTTATATTGGTGATTAGTAATTCATTTGACATTATTGTCATAGGAGATAAGGTTCACATGGTACCTATGTGATTAAAGTTATTGTCAATGTGTAGTCACGTCAACCTGTATGACCTAAAAAAACGTGCTTTCACTTTAAAGGAGTTGTCATTTGGACAGGAAAGAAGTACGAAGGTTTGAAGAGGGTTTTATGTAGATTTGAAATACATTAGTCAAACTTTTTACAAGAACTAAGCATATACGAATACGTAGTAAATGTCCGAGAAATGATTGAATTCATAAAATGGGCCTTCACCCATGTAATGGATTTTGGAAAAAACAATTTAAAAAAAAATAGTTTCCCACATAACAAAATGTGGCAAAACATTAAATATAAACTGCATTTATATTGGTGATTATCAATTCATTCTGTGAATATTTGCATTTTTCTAACATTAGATAAACTGGTGTCCATCGAGGTCAGGACACAATCGACCATCAACGCAGCAAAGTCTGCACAATCCAGTGCACAAAGGACACTTGCAACAACTAAAGCAAATGAAGAGATTTGCCACATTTGACCAAATCTATGTCATTAGTAATTGAAGTCGTAAATATATTATCAATTTACTGAATACTGATTCATTGAATATTACATTGACTCCAATTCAAAGAAAGTGGCATGGAATTAATATGTAAAGAAGACAAAAAACTACTGTCGAATCGATCGGATTCTAGCTGGACATTTTCTCTTATCATGCCCTCTTTACAAACACAAACTACAATGGTGCAATCCACTTTGTCTGGAAGTATCCGTTTCGTTGTGGATGCAGCTATGTCGAGGACGACCCGTTTTAACTTCACGTTGTCGAGCTGGAATAGCAAGCAAAGTTGGGTAATCATCGTCAGGCCAATATTGCTCGTGCGGCATGGGCCTAAACTTCTGCGCGAAGATACGCTTGTGGACTTCTAACCTATACTCTGGTGCAACGAAAGGAAAAGGGTCCTCGCCCAAGTTTGCTGTCACAGCAAGCATGTGGGAACATGGCAAGTGAAATAATGTGTACTTCCCACATGAACAACTAGGTGGTCAGAGACTAACTATTTGACGAGCACCACCCCCCATCCCATGCGGTGCTGTCCTCACCTCATATTCCCCTATTCCCCTGTAGGAAAAATGTATATACGTGGATTAATATGCATATATGTTTAAATATAGACTAACATCAATGATCGACGAGTGCGAAATGTTAATGTGTAGTGAATTCGGTGCATCCAATAAAAATTACCTATTAATCGGTACCAACATATGCACATTCGCTTTAGCTTGGTGCTTGTCAATCCATCGTTGAACATTAGTCGTGTACAAGTGACCCCGATTACTCTCATTTTTAGCAATGGTCATGCCCTCGTCAAAATATTTCACGAGCCGATAAAAAGTTATCTCAACTGATGCTGTAATGGGAACACTGCGTGCGCCTTTCAGTACACCATTGAAGCCCTCTATATGGTTTGTCGTCAATATGCCCTAACGACAACCACCATCATGGCACAATGTCCAATGAATAGGGTTCATCCGTCTAAACCACCGTTCAACATTCTTCTCGAGCTTGTAGATATCGTCCATAATCTTGTTAAACTTCCGCACTTGCCGTGCAGAACTAGCTCTCCACACAAGATCCTTTGCTACTGTATTGCCAAATCTTTCATTGAACTTGCTACATACGTGTCGCAAGCAATACCTATGGTACCCTCTTGGTTGAACTGCTGGATTGTCCCAAATTCTTGACACGACACTAAGCAAAGCTATATGTCGATCGGATATCAATGTGACCCCCTCTCAGTCACGGCACACATGTCGCCTAAGCAGAGTAATGAACCAACCCCAACTCTCGATCATCTCCTTTTCAACAACGGCAAAGGCAAGAGGTACAATCTTGTCTGCAACAGTCACTGCAGTGGCTGCAACAATCTTCCCTTCGTATTTCCTATACAAGTGTGTGCCGTCAATGCATATCACTGGATGACAATACTTGAAGCCTTCTATTGCAGGTTTAAATGCCCATAACACATAGTTCATGTACATTTCAGTTCCGATTGAGGTAGAGTGCAAATTCGGAATCATGTCCCACATGACAACTGTGCCTGGATTGAATGCCTGCAATGCAGCCATATATCTAGGCAACCTTCGATACGACTCGTCCTAGTCACCAAACACCATTGCAACTGCCTTCGTCCTTGCAAGCCACGTTTTCTTATATGATATAGTGAACTGAAACTTCTCCTTCACGACCTCAATTATGGTAGCAAGAGGCAATTCTGGTGATATCTGCAAATATAAATTATATTTGAATACATTACAGTCATAATGAAATCCTAAAAACAATAATCTATCTAGCATGGCACTTACTGCAATTTGTGCCTTGATGAAATGAGCAATGACTTTGGACTTGAGGTTGCAATTGTCCTTATTCATTCTAGGATACACACACTGATGCGGCGCTTCAAACCTTCTGATTTGAAAAAAATCTTTGTCTTTCAACTTCATTGCCCGAACCCTCCAGTTGCAGCCGTGCTTGCACTCGGCCACCCAACTGTTTCCTTTGGATTCTACGACCTTGCATTCTCGATTGGGCTTCAGGTTATACAACTGAACAATGTGCACTAGTCTTTTCTTATTAGTAAATATCATTCCTTTCTCCAAATGAGCAGTTTCGAAGTCCCACAATGGCCAACGTTCGACAACATCACGGCTAGTGATGGAACCATCATTGTCAAAATGCAAATTATAGTAGAAAGGGATATGGACATTTGTGTGTACCTCCTGCATATCATGATGCCCTCCAACTTCGTCATCACCGGAGTCATTGTCTGCACCTTCCCATGCGCCATCCACATCTTTCACGGAATCTTCATCACTTACTCCAACCTCGTCAAACAATGGCACTGTATCATCGGAGGATGCATAATTTTGGACAACCGTCTCCATTGTACGTTGAACATTACAAACCGGTGGACATTATGCATTCCAGTGGGGATATGGGGTTGTAAGAACCATCGAATTATACGTTGTCGGAGCACTTGGACCTACTCCGGCACTGTAATAACCATCTACGTTCTGTGATGCATTTAATTGATTGTAACTCTGAGAATGATTAAATTGAGGGTAATCTTCAGGGAACATGTGTGCAGACTGTATAAGTGTATTGTTAGGGGATTGCGATTGTGTCAACATTTAAGTGAATGTCCCACCCATCGGAATTGGCATCTCTATGCCACCAAAATTGCTCTCCTTCTCCACATAGATTTCCAAAAAATAATCAAGGCCTAATTTATGTAGGAGCTCTAAGACATTACTTAAGGTCTCATTATCTTTGATTGGCAGCAACCTATACTTCCCCCGACATGGGAGTCTACATTTAAACTCTAATCGCATTATTTCCCCATGCGTACCAACCTTTGGCACCATCATAGCCTCCAACTCGCCCAATGTTATCCCCCTGTGCACATTATACAACCCCTGAGGTTCGGTGTCGTACGACACACCTTCATCGCGATTGCGCAAAATCTTTCCACCCCAATAGAACATAATGCTCACAACTTCCATACCTACACTTTGCATTCAAAGTAACTCAATTATTTCTAAATAATAAAGTAAGCACATTTGAGAGCAAACACCACATATATTACACAGAAGTGCCTTCAGGCATGGGTCTTTTGGTATTACAAAATATTTAAGTGGCATATCGACATGAACATGGAAATGAAAGTTATTTGCTCCATATATAATAGCATCCTACATGACTTATATTTCTTGTATTATTTAGAAGGATTATCTATTTGCACATTTAAACAAAAAATCATGTGTGGGATCATTTTTCCAATTTTCATGAATTAACATTTGAATTCTTTTGTTGTGATTTGTCATGATTTCTTCATCCCTTCTTACGAGCTTATGTTTTCCTTTACTCTTTGTTTTATGTTGTTATGCTTTCCCTTTGGTATTATTATTATTTTTTTAAATAATTTTTTCAATTAAAACTCTTTTTTTGGGGCTTTCATGGGTGGGTGTTTTCAAATGCTTTGAAAGAACCTTTTCCATATCTTTAATTGACATTTTGTTCAGGTTTATCAAACCTGTTTTCGTCATGTGTTTCGTGTGTAGTTGCTTTCATACATTGATTTTTTAATTTCACATTCTATGAAATAGAATGCACATACTATAAGAACTCTTCCCACAACCTCGTTGTGCGCGCCATAATTTCTCATTTCATCTTCATGTATTGAACCATCCATGTAAGATTAACCAATAGGCCTTTGATAAAGAAAAACTCTACTAAACTAATTCTTCATACTATAAGAACCTAATTTTACAAGCCCTAATTTTTCATACTATAACAACCTAAGAACTTCCAACAGGAAAATCCTAAATTGTTCACAAGTTCAAACTCTAAACTACCATGCCCACAATTGTTCAGTCTGAAACAACAGTATAAAATATTGAAATTCCAACTTTCCATGAAGAATAAAAAGTATCTTGCCTTCTAAAAACATAAACACATTAAGCTTTTGGGTCAATCGCTAATCTAATAGATTCATGTAGCTACAGCTAATCAATTCACGCATGGAGTTACAACACCTCAGTTTAGAAGAAGCTCTGAGGATTGTTGAATAAACATTTGTTTTCTTAACTCCGTTTGATTGGGATAATTACATTGATAAAGAGGTTATCTTTGCAACTTGGTAAAGTAAATGCCAGTCAAATAGATGTCAAATCAAGTGCAAATCAATGACACATAGACCCTTTGAACTTCTTTTGACTAAAAATCACCACAAGAATTAAGACCAACCAAAAAAGATTTTTTGAGACTTTATTGTGATAACAAATTAGCTACCAATTGTGCTCGTAGTCTAGAATCCATTAAGGAGCAATGCACCGATTGTTTATTTTTCCATGCGTACTGTTACAAGAATTTCGCAATTTCGTTTAATATATTTTTCTTAAAATGGAAACCCCTTTATCCAACTAAGCATTCATAACACTCAACATGTTCAAATAATTAACTATTGAGAATTTATTAACATCAATAAAAGTTTTTGTTTTTTTTCCTAAATATTTTCATACACTTTCAAATCCTTTTTGTTATTTCTCATGTTTTCGAAAAGTTTGAAAAGTTTCCAATTCTATTTTCATTTCCAACCTAACTGAAAGAACGTACGGAAACGAAATTTTGATCCAATTAGAGAAGACGGGAAAATTATCACATTTTAATAACAACATTTGATTTCTTTAACATCAATTTATAACCCACGTTTGACATCACATATGCACACCCATATAGTACCACCGAACAAAGTACTAGCCAAAATTAACAACAAACAAAGAAAAAAAAGAAAAAAATAGCTTACTAAAAATAAAAATAAAAAGAAGAAAAAATAAGCACTTTTTCATATTCTTTATTTTTAGTGAAATTTTTTTTAGACTTCTCATAAATATTAAAATTTTAAGTATATCTATATTAGGTGCATCAAAATATATAGATTTTTAATTAAAATCTAAAAAAAATCAAAAATAGATGAAGACAAAAATAAAAGCTCATTTTTTTTAAAAAAAATTTCTAAACTCTATTAGAATGTGTGTATTTCTTAAATTTAAATTTATCACAATAGTACCTGTAACCCCGTGCAAGGCATGGGCATTTTACCCTAGTATCTATATATCTGGCCCTAAAGGGTTGCACTCTATCACAAAAATATGGTTTTACCATAAAATTATGTAACATCAGTAACAAAATGTATAATCTCGTTACAAATTAGCATAATAAAATGTCCAAATTTTTGTGGTTAATGATGTAAAAGTTTTTGGCTTAGTTACGATATTTTTTATTATGCCAAAATTTGTAGTTAGGTTATGCATGATGTAAAAGTTTATGGTTTTGTTGTGACATTTTTTGTTACGTCAATTTGTAATAGGATTACACATTTTGTGGCAGGTGCATATGGTAGCATTTTCCATATATCTAGGCTTGAATAACTCGATTTATATTTGTTGTTATTGCATACGATGTAATGGGTTGGGCTAGGCTGTGGGCTCATACAAGAAAATTGTGGGCTTATTGTAGGGCTTGGTCCAAGCGGGCCAGACTTCTATATCTAGAGGCTCTGAATTATAGGATTTTCCTTTTTTCAAAAAAGGTTTGATTCCCTTATTAGATGTGGGCTTTTTCTTTTTATATTTGTTTTGAGGATCTTTCTTGCACATATTTATAATTTTCATTTTATGTACTAAAAAAAATGTAATTAAAATACAAAGAAAAATATGTTAAAAATACATATATATATATATATATATATATTTGGATTGGTATCCGGCCATATTGAATAACTAATATGAGAGATCAATCCCAACGTAGTGGACAGTGGGACAATGGGATTAAGGGAAGAAGAAGAAGAAGAAGAAGAAGAAGAAATCATAGAGTCCACTCTTTTGCTTATGTCTCATCTCTTTATTGACTGACTATAAAGCTAGTGTTTATATGGGTCCATCGTAAATAAGATAGTCTCTTGCTTAAAAATGGTATCTGTATAATTTGCATTTATTGAGAGAAAATTATACTACTAATACGTCTTGAATGTGGAGATTTAAAAGGTTGAATTTGGATATTTTAAAGGTTTGGAATCATTAGGAACTCCAATGATGTGTTAAAAATACCAAGTAAAATAGATGGACTACTTGAAATTGACAAGTTGAGAGTTAGCGAGTTAGCAAAACTCTTGCCTCAATTCGAAGAGAAGATCAAAAGCTTTCACGAGGAATTTGCATTAAGGATGTGGTCGTATTAGGAGGGGAATAATGTCACAACTTGGGAATTTTATCAAATACTTGAGTTACGAATTCGATTTTAGATTTATGTAAAATTTTGTAGAAATCCCTATAATTAGGTAGATAATTGTAGAATTTTTTCATCATAAGGTGGTGGAAGGATGTCGATAGCTTTCATACTACTAGATCATTGAAATTTATACATATCTAGACTATTAATTAAAATATATAATAGGCAATCATTTGGTTATAATGATTTTCAGGTGCATGTTCAGATATTAGGTTTTTGAGTTTTGATTTGAGGCTTTTCAATTTGAAAATTAGGGTTTAAGGTTTTTCAATTTCAAAATTTGGGGCTTTTCAATTTGGGGTTTAGTGTTTAACTTGGATGCTTGTTATGAATTTTTAAATGGGACTTAATAATGTCAATTTACCAAGTCTCTTATACTTCCAATTTGAACTTTACTTCTTGTGAACTTGCTATTTTCAATTCAAACTCTCTCTACTTCCAACTCAAACTCTATACCATCTTGAAAGTCCATCAGGGTGAGTACCACATGGACACAAACCATGGAAGGCCATGGCCTCCCTGCCTAGTATATATATATATATGGGTTCATTTTATGAGACATGAACTACCTTATCTAATTTTCAATTTTATGCTCACAAGACATACGGCTATGCATTTAATGTTCATTGTCCTAGAGTTCATTTTCAACTAGATGTTATGTTTATGTAAAAGAAACATTATATGGTTGGATTATAAATTCTTATGCTCTGATTAACAGGAAATAGAGGACGGGGAGTTCATTCGTGTAAGGATAGTTCACTTGAATGGGAAACCTCGAGTACTAACATTGAAGCAGGATATGCATTACTAGCCTACGTGGGAACTGAGATTCAATCCTGAAGCTGCAATGAGGCGTCTTAAAACAATCAAAGCATTAGATAAGGGTATTGCATGAATGTAGTCTTTTAATTTTATTGTCTAGAAATTGTTCTATGAAAAACATCGTTAGGCTCTGAAATTACTTCAAATTGAATGGTGAATCCTATTGTTGGTTTTCGTACTATTTGTATTGGGATTTTTTGGTACATCTTATTGGGAGGCTCATATAAAATTACATTTGAATGACATCATAAGTTATATTTGAATAATTGAAATAAATAAAATACCAATTTCAGATTTTCCATCATCTTTTGTTCCCCTCCCCCCACTTTTCTGATTTTGGAGGTGTATGTTTTTATAAGAAAATGGTCTGCAAACAATAAATTTTTGAAGAATTTCAAACAAGAAATATGTCACATTGATGAATCTTTCATATATGTCACAAATTTGTGTTGTTGTCAAGAGCAAACTAACTTGAAAGGAGAAATGTTTTGGCGTTTGAACCCAACCTTGTTCACAGGAATGGTATCCATCTTCATAAGAGGCGCATGTGTGTATTGCAATCTCTTTGAACTGCCATTTCAAGTACTGTGAATATTGCAATTTATCATCTTCATAACAGGCTTAGTGTGTGTTAAAATGTACATATAAGATTAAGTAGACTCAATTTTGTATTAAAAGTTTGTTAATTTAGTGAAGGACTCGGTACTTGAATGAAAATGTTAGTGTTAAGTACGTGCATAGTCTTTTTATCAAAAGGAAAGAAAAAGTGTAGCCTTCAGCATTCATTTGGAAAGTGGGTTTTTTTAGTATTTTTTAGCTTTTTATAAATAAAAAAAAAACGTGCACAGCATCTCCATTAGAGATGCCCCAAGGATTTGTGTGTATTAATTAAAG